ACCAGCCAAACCCTAGTGACCCATCATTTGCAAGGAAGTTGCTGCCTAGGATCAGATAGGTCCTGGCTGGAAGCCTGGCACGAGGTTCTCGTCTGTCCTATAGTCTATCGGGTAGCATGCATGGCTCCTCCTCTTCAAATAAAGAGCAGACTTCTGTCTCCCAAGCTGTCAGTCTTAGAAACTGCTGCACGAAGGGCAGCATCTTGGGTGCATGTGAAAGCCTGGACAATCAACGAGGCCCAGAGTCCAATACAGTTCCCTCCAACTGTTCCTACACACGAAGGGAGGATCAGAGAATGTAGATGAAAAAATCCCTGGATAATTCACAGTTCATTTCACTCTTTGGGTTTGAAATAAAATGTACAATTTTTTTTTGCATGTACAGTTTTTAATAGCCCACAACTTATACTATATTCCCAGAATACATACCACTTGGGAACAGTCAAAGGTGGCCCTGATAGCCAGTGCATTTTCTTAAACCTCCACTTAGGAGGCAATGACTTGTATGTACCAGGCACTGTGCTGGGGACTTTACAGCTGCTTATCTCATTTAATCCTGCAGCAAGCCTAGGCTAGGTACTAACGCCACGCCCGTTTCCCAGGACAGGAAATAGCAGCTCAGAAAGGTTAGGGGATAGCCCAAGGTCACCACACCAGCAAGATCAAAGCCTGAGCTGTGGCCTCTGCCGGTCTACTTTTAACCAGTGTTCTGGGGGTGATTTGGCCCTAGGGGACATTTTGGGGATGGGGTGCTGCCAGCATCTAGTGGCTAGAGGCCGGGGATGCGGCTGAACATCAGCAATGCAGGGACAGCCCCCGCAGCAAAGAACCATCCCAGCCCTAAATGTCAGTGGTTCAGAGGCTGATGACGGTGCTTTTCCCCTAGCACACACAGTGAGCATCACCCCCAGAATTCCCCCTTGAGCTGGATGAAGACAGGTGAGTCCTTTGAAGGCTGGAATCATTCTTACTTGGGCACTGAATTTACTTCTTTAGGCCTGGAGGAAGTAAAGTGTGTTAGAGAAACACCTTGAGAACTGATGTTTAAAGAAAGAAAAGGAAACTGATTTTTATTGAGGGCATGTGTGCTGGCGCCAGACTAGACACCTTTAAATCTATGATAGTCTTTTTTTTTTTTTGTGAGGAAGATCAGCCCTGAGCTAACATCCATGCTAATCCTCCTCTTTTTGCTGAGGAAGACCGGCTCTGAGCTGACATCTACTGCCAATCCTCCTCCCCTTTTTTTCCCAAAGCCCCAGTAGATAGTTGTATGTCATAGTTACACATCCTTCTAGTTGCTGTATGTGGGACGCGGCCTCAGCATGGCCGGAGAAGCAGTGTGTCAGGGCGCACCCGGGATCTGAACCCGGGCCGCCAGTAGCGGAGTGCACGCACTTAACTGCTAAGCCACGGGGCCGGCCCTCTATGATAGTCTTTATCCTTCAAATCAACCCTTAGGTTTAGAGGCAATCAACATCCTCCGCCCCCGATTCCCAATTTGAAACCAGGGAAGAAATTGAGGCTCAAAAATATTAATATACTCAAGGTCACATGGCTCAAAGATCCCGGTAACGCAGGCCTCAAAGATTCCAGAGTCTACTTCACATACTTGAAATACATCTCTAGGGAATCATCAAAGCCATGCTGAAGGTGAAGTAGGAAGCCTACAGAGCAGCATGAATTAATCCCCCCACTTTCTAATCAAAAGGAGTGCTTTTTACACCCCACAATCACTGTGTGCCGTAGAAAGTCCATATTAGCACACGGGAGTGGAGGTGAGTTGGTTACAATAATGCTTCTTTTTTACAATTCTCAAGGCACTTTTATTATCCATTATCTCGTCTGAGCTCATAAAGCATCTTGTGAGGCTGTCCCGGCAAATGTCCTCATTTTACACCTGGAGAACTGGCCTCCAGAGGGGAAGGACTTGGTGACAGGCCTTCAGGGCCTCCTGTGCCCGCCCTGAGGCACCGTCCCCACAGCGCCACATGGGGCTGGAGACGCTGACCTTTCTTCACACCAGCCTGGGTGAGCTCCAGTGAACTCTGACTCATTAAGTGTTAAGCCGCACAAACTCCTTTATGAGTAGTAACCATTTACTGAGCCCTGTAAAGGGCCCCTTGCTGTGCTGGTGGCTTTCCCTGGGAAAGGGGGGTACCAGCGGGGAGCACTCCTGCATGCAGGCCAGCCTCTTGAGGGGCCTGTGGCCATGGGGCAGCTGAGACCTCACAGTCCTAAAGGCTTCTCTGTGGTTGGGAGTACTTCTGGATGCCTCCAGGAGGTCACGGTGAGAAACAATGTCTGCCCTGAGGAAAGGGCTTGGGAGCACTGGTCGCAAGTGGGGAACTGGCCCACGCGGTCCTGGCCACTGACTGAGTTCTTTTGCACTGCCCGCTGAGCTCTCTACATTCACCGCCTCACTAGGTTCTCACAGCCCTTTGAGTCTGGGGCCGTTCCCATTGTACAGGTGGGGAAGGTGAGGATCAGAAAATTGTTGGCTAGACAGACGTGGAACTTGCTCAAAGTCGTGTGCAGGGGAGCTAGGATCTGAGCCCACCTCTCCCCAGCTCCAAAGGCTTTCTACTTAGCCCTGACACCACCATGCCTTCTGGTTTTTTGGAAGTGGTGAGCAGAAGCCCGGAGCCTGCCGAGAAGCTTCTGTTGGCCCCCTGGGCGGGTCTTGCTTCCACTGAAATGGCCACGTTGAAACAGCCCTGCAGGCAAATCCTTGTGAAAGAATTTCAAGGCAGTCTTCCCTGCCCATCCCCCCAGCCTGAGGGCCGATCCCTCCATGCAGATGGGCTGGGCTCTGAGCTTCAGCCTTTTCAGGGTTAAACAGTAACCTTTCTACTGCTTGTGGTTGAGCAAATGCTGGTGAGGAACAAGCCCAGCCTTGAGCAAACAGGAGACCAGGCCATGCCCCCTCCCTGCCCCAGCCACCCCTCTGGGGACTTGGAGTTTTCTTCTGCCCTGAAGTACCCCCCATCTGATTTCTTAGCTTTGGGCAATTGCTCTAGAAGGCTGGGTGAGAAAAGGACCAGTTATTGTGAAAAAGAGAGGAAGGTTTGACTTGGGTTGTTCTTCCTTCTCTGAGGGTGAGAATCAAAGAGTTTTCTGGAAGGGAACTTAGGAATCAATTTGGTCACCTTCTTTAAATTTTCTCATGGGGAAACTGAGGCCCATGGTTGTTTCCATTTTGGGTTATCCAGCGAGATAGTGACTCTGTCATTATAAAACCTGCCATGTACTTGCATCCTACTTCGTGCCAAGTGCTCAAGGTATAGAAACTCATTTAATCTCCAGCCAAGGCACATGGTAGGTATGATGATCTGCATTGTGCATATGAGGGAACTGCAGCTCACAGAGGTCAAAGACTTGTCTAGGTTTGTACTAACCTTAGCTAGTAAGTGAGGGAGCTTGGAATCAACCCCAGTGCTTTCTGGCTTCCAAACTCTTATACGTGGTGCCACCACATACACCCCAGCTCTCCCACCTTCCCACGTGGTGGTCTGTTAGCATGTCCATCATTCCCATCCCTTCTTTCCTTCTCCACCTTCCACGTAGGCTGAATTCGGACCTAATTATTTGCCAAACAACCATGATGATGTTAATAATGATCATAAATGTTCCTCTCTAGCCTAGTTCAATTCTTAATCTCTGCTCTCTCCCCAGTACCTAGAATAGTGGCCAGCTCATTATAGGCCTTGTACATATTTGTTGAATAAATGAAAACATGAATGAATGTTTGTGCTTTTCCCAGACCCCTCTTCTCCCCTCTCAGGCCCTACACAGAGCCAGAGGAGCAATACCCAAATTAGAGAAAGGGATTTTGAAGGCTGGAACTGCTCTGGGAGGGTAATTTCAATTCTGGGGACATTGGTGACACCTGAGGATGCAATATTTCTTCAAAACAGGCAGAAAAATTTTCATGATCTGCTGCTATAAAGCTGGCTTCCTCTCCCCACCCCAACATTTTAGAAAGAGCAAGTTACCCTTAGAGGCTGTGGGTACTGCTCAGTCATCTTCTGGAAACAGGCTGCTCTTCTTCTGAGTGACTGAACACACTTCTAGGGCTTAAGTCTGAAAGGTGGGGGGTACCCGGCTTGAGGGTAGGAACATTATAGATGGCGGAGGATTAAAGCAAATATTTCTAAAGTGCAAAATTTTTATGTTGCTTAAAAAATCCAGACAGGCCCCTGGAAGAGAGGCTCTTCTCATGGGTCCTTCACTAAGAGCATGAGCCCTCAGGCTGAGAAGGTCACCTCTAGGTCAGCTTTGAGGCTCGCGGTGTTCTCCAGGTCTCTAAAAAAGAGGAAAGCTAGTCAGAAATTTTGCCCGGCAGGAGGGGAAGGGGCAGTGTCTTGTCAGAGAAAGCCAGTGATTTCTGATGTTATCACTAAGGGGCTAAGTCCTTGGGGAGCTCTGGCTCAAATGTGACGGAGGTCGTCTGCCATCAGCCCGCCCTGCGGCAGGTGTCTGCGCTGAGGAGCCTGGCTGGGCTCCCGGTGCGGGGTGCTGCATGCGGGGTGCTCAGGCGGCTGTGTGGGGACTCGTGAACATCCGACTTCAGCTCAGGGCTCCTGCACAGGTGCCAGGTCTGTGCGGCGGTGGCTTGGATTTTCGTTGATTGCAATTCCACTTTAAACAAAATCTCTTAGGCATTTTCACTTTTGTAAAAAAAGAAACCCGTGGCTGCTGGCCAGACTCGCCCTGTGAGCAGGTATTGCCTTCTCCTCCCGCTCCCTTCCTGATCAGAGATTATTCATTTATGAATGGGTGGCTGTAAAAACTTGCCTCATACATGTGAAAATTGAACCTGGAAATTTTTCATTGCCAGTGAGTTTTGCTTTCACTGAAAGGGCTGTGGCAACATGCTTTGGAGGCAATGGCTGGAAGGACAGATTCTTTTTTTTCTCCCTAAATTAACTCTATGATCTGCACTCTCAAATGACGTTTCTCCAAGAGGCACCAACTGAACAGGCTGTTTGATCCGCTTACAGATCATGATTCTGGAAGGAAGTGGTGTAATGAATCTCAACCCCAGCAACAACCTCCTCCACCAGCAGCCAGCCTGGACAGACAGCTACCCCCCATGCAATGGTAAGGAGGCCGGGGTGGGGGTGGGGGTCAGTGTCACTCACCATGGGGGTTCTTTCTTCACTTTTTTAGGCTTCATTTCCCAACTTAAGGTCCGAAAGACACAGGTTTTATACAGCTGGGAGTGTGAGGACCAGGGGAATGGAGAAAACTTCATGCTGGAGGTCCCTCCAGGCCCCCAGGCCTCCAGACAGAAGCCCATTTGAGATATTCCATTGTTTCCTCCCAAAATTCAAGGCTCTGGTTGGGCAGCCTGGCAGGGAGGGTGGCAGAAGGGATGCACAAAGGGAAGGCCACCTGGTGAAGCTTTTAACAGTGTTTGGCTGGGATATCAAGATAGGATAGGAAAGAAAGGGGTGTGTGTGTGTGTGTGTGTGTGTGTGTGTGTGTGTGTGTGTCGCGTGGAAGCATGAAAGTCAAGGAGCAGAGGGTTATAGCAGCTTGATCTTTCTACTTCATCTTCCAGTGACTTCTCTTTGTAAAGGGAGAGGAGATTGTTAGGAGACCAGGTGCCCTCCTTTAGTGCCTTCATCTAGAACCTACTGATTAGAAGAGGGCGGGGGCTGGTGGTGGGGCTTATAGAGGGTTTGGTGATCAAGCCCGTGGCTTACTGTAAAAGCTGAACTGAACAAAGCCATTGCTGAATCAGGCCCCACACCCCATTGTGAAGGCATTCAGTCTGGGCAGATTGCTGTGCATCCAACTGCCACAGGTTTGAGGAGCTCCTCCCCATACCTGCTGCCAATCTCCTCGCCGGAGACTCTGCTCTTCCTGCTTCCCTTGAAAAACGGAAATAGCTGTTGATGAGCAGAGTCTGAGAAGCAGGAGCTGGAGGGTATGGCAGGTGCATGTTCTCCAGTAAGCAGCTGGCCCGCGTGCGGCTCTCTCTCTTCCAGTTTGGAACCCCAGCCAAGCAGGGCTGAAAACGTGAACGGGCGACCTTCCCTTATTTGAAGGTTCCCCCAACTGCTACCCTTTCTGGGCAGTGACATTTTCTGTTGCAGGCCTCAGACTCCTGTGGGGACCTCGAAGGAGGATTCCAAATAGGGCAGGAAGGTTCTTCAGACTAGTAAGTCTTTGGCGTCCCCAGGCCCCTGGACCCGCGATTAGGCAGCCTTCCTCCCCTTTGCTTTGGAGAAAGCTGAGCAATGTGTTGAGCAGGCAGTAGAGTTTAAGTGTCACTTTTACTTCTTAACTTCCAGAGACCCCAAAGAAGGCCCAGCTCTTGGTCATGATTGATGGGGTGGGGGAGGTCAGTTAAATGACAGAGAAGAGCTGAACTCAGGATTTTCAGTGTTATCTCTTGAAACTTCAGGAATCTGATGAGTCCCCTGACTGACGGGGAGAACCCCCCCAGTCAACTTCAGACACAGTTCTCTGGCTCTCCCAAGTTCTAACAGGATGCACGGATGCACTGTCAGGAACTATCCTTTAATCTGGATCAGGTCAAGTTGAGAGAAGAAATTACGCCAGGCTTGGTGCTGGGTTATCGAGAGTTGTTGCTTCACGTTTGCAAACCCAGAACTGCACTGTCATAGCAACACAATTATTTTAGAAAAAGAGAACAAAGACTCAGGGAGCCACAAAAAATACCTCTCATCCTAAAACAGTAGTATCTGTGAGGCACCAAAAAATTGGCAGGGCAATGGAAACATCCAGTGTAAGCTCTGTGTGTTTCTATATTTGGGAATATTTCTATGTAATTACATTTTGGACTAGATTTTTCCAATCCTTGCCCCTATTCCCCTCCACCATTGACTAAGGGTTTGGGCCGCCATGAGGTATGAGGAGTAAAGCACGTACCGTGAGTGGCAGTGATTCCCCAAGGCAATCACCTTCCTGCCCTTAGTGCTCCTGAGGTCTGGAGTAGTGGATGAATTCTGAGGGGTGAGCAAAAGTGGGATTGGGTTGGAAACATCCCCCATCAGCCTTCTCTCTGGGGACATTGAGGGCTAGGCTGTGGGCATTACGGGAATCAAACATTTTGGAGTTCTTTAGCCACTCAAGCTGTATCCACAGACCAGCATCTTCACCATCACGTGGAAGCTTATTAGGAAGGCAGAAACTCAGGCCTCAACCCCAGACCTCTGGAATCAGAATCCGCATTTGAGCAACATTCCCTGGTGGTTCATAATCACATTAGAGTCTGAGAAGTACTGATCTAGCATGACCTTGAAGGAAAAGTTAGGGACGGTGTCCTCGTGCTACAGTTTCTTCTCTTGGTCCATCCTTGAGTTTGTGGGAGTATCTGTGGGTCATGTTCATTTGGATCCCCTCCCTCAGCTTGCTGGGCTGCAATAGTGTCTTCTCTTGCTCCTGCCTCTCACCTTTCCTGGAAGAGAGTTCCTCCCTTGATCTCTGTTTCCAAGGGGACTGTAAGATCTCAGCCCTCTTACATGCCCCCAGAGGCCAGCTCATTCTTCTCATCCCACCAGGCCTTTGGGCTGACTTGGTGCTGTTCCCTTAAGAGAAGATAAGAGTCATCTAGACCACTAGCCTGCAATATTTATTGGCTTGAATGACGTTCGCTTCTTCACTGGTATTTGAATTAGCCATTTTGTGAGTGCACCTCCCAACTCTTCCAGATTCCTACATCATTTCTTCTTCAGCAACAAATTCCACTAAAGAAATATAGAGGGAGTACCTATGATGGCAAAGGCTCTGAGGTAGTTTTTATAGGAGATACAAAGATGGGTGAGACAGAGTCCGTGACCCTGGGCATACAATTTACAAAGGAGAATAAAACGGTACTTAGAGACCCATAAAGAAAGGCAGAACATGACAAAAGCCATTAGACTAAATACCAAGGATGTCTCCTGGAGATTCAGAAGACAGCAGCCCTTGCAGTGAGTCGAGGGGATCTGTGGTGGCTTTATGAGGTGGTTAGAGTCTGCAGGCTGGGTAGGCATTCAGCAGGGAGTGATTGGGCTGAAAGAACAACACAGAAAAAAGGCAAAACTCGTAAGTTACTTGGAGAATAGCTAGTAAAGAGCCTCAATGCCTGGCTTGGCAGGTTTGTACCTCATTTCAGTGGATAATGGGAGGCTCCTGAAGGTAACCGAGTAGGGAAGTGACATCACAGTAGCTATAATAACCAGTGGGGGTGGGGCTATCAGCACAGTTAGCAGATGAGTAACCTGGACCACTCTGGGAAGAAGCAAAGGCATTGTAGAGAAAAGAACCTTATTCTCAGGCCTTATTTTTGATTGAAAATGGTCTGAATTTTGGGTATGTATGTGTATATGTGTGTGTGTAAGAGAGAGGAAAAAATGGGAGAGAGCGCGAGGGAGAAGAGAGGAAAAGAGCTACGTGGGTGTGGACAACAAGCTTACAAATTGCTGGAACTGTAGCAATGCTTTAGCTTTCATGGTACTTTGCAGGAGGTGGGGAAGGAGCTCATGATCTCAGAGCACTTCAGGACTTGTGTCCTCACCCAGCACCCAGGGGTGAGTATTATCCTAAGGAAGACGTGGAGATGCATGGAGGCTAAATGACTGGTCCCCGCGACAACTGGGAAAAGAGCCACATTTCCGAAAGCCTCCTCTCCAGAGCCTGTCTCATGCTCCAACCCCCACACTGATGCCCATGGACTGTGGTTCTGTTCTCCATGGTGTCCGGCAGCCAGTGGTGCCTCCTCGTGTCTGAGATTATGCCCGGGAACAACTATGGGTCACTCACCGGGTCACCTCCTCTTTTGCAGTTTCCAGCGGGTTTTTTGGAGGCCAGTGGCATGAAATCCATCCTCAGTACTGGAGCAAGTATCAGGTGTGGGAGTGGCTCCAGCACCTCCTGGACACCAACCAGCTGGACGCCAGCTGCATCCCTTTCCAGGAGTTCGACATCAACGGCGAGCACCTCTGTGGCATGAGCTTGCAGGAGTTCACCCGGGCGGCGGGGACGGCAGGGCAGCTGCTCTACAGCAACCTGCAGCACCTCAAGTGGAACGGTGACTATCTCTCCCTCCCCCGCTAGGAGCCAAAGGGTGCTCTCCCCTCCAAATGGCTGTGTCCTGAGGTAGGGAAGCGGAAGGGCGGTGGGAGAACAGGCATGAAGCCTAAGGTACAAGGTGTGTCTGATCCCATATAAACCAGTGTAATTTAATTCTCTCCTTATGGTTAATTTCCCAGGAGACAAGGGCTAGCTGGGTATTCACAGAATACTTGCTACTCTCAGAAAAACTTTTCCGCTTTCTCTTGTGAACAGGGTTTGATAGTTTAATTTCCAATCACTTGCTTGTTATGATCATCATGGACATTTTTTTTTTTTTAACTTTTAGACCTAGGTTCTTAAGATGGGACCCGCAGGTGGTAAGAAGATATACAAAATTAGATCTATGTGTTTTGGGAGGGGAGAAGGCTCACAGTATTTAGCAGATTCTTAAAAGATCTGTAAAAAAAAAAAAAAAAGGGTTAGCACGAATGTTCTAGACACATGTGGGATGTTTCTGCAATAATTTCTGGAATTGGTGCTGCCCCAGACCCCAAATGTGCCTCTCATCAGGCCTCACCCACAGCACAGGCAGGCCACCATTCCAAACGCTGTCCATCAGTGATGGCTTATTTACACACGCACACACGCCTGCAAAGAATCAGCTCCTCTGAGAACTATGGGCATCTTGGAAAGCAGCGATACGTAAGAACGGGTACGTCTGTCTTAACAGAACCTGTGTTTGGGCAGGAAGCTGGGGCTTTGGGAAGCACGAGTTCCAGGGCTGTGACAGGTTCAGACCCTGACAGCTACTGTCAACACTGAGGGGACCAGAGTCTGGCCGTGGGAGGGCAGCTGTGGCGGCCATTGTGGATGACCTCATTCAGCTCCCAGGCACTCCCTTCTTCCCACCCACCTCACGGAGGTGATTGCTCATTTATCTTCTGCTAGAACCAAACCAAACAAGGCTCTTTAAATAACCCCAGGAATCTTCAGAAAGAGCAGACTTATACTTGATGAATTAATTCTCACCTTTGTTTCATTGTTTGCCTTTTTGTAGATATTCTATTAACTCACATTTATTGAGTATTTGCTTATACTGGTACTCTAAGTGAATGATTCATTTAGTGACCTTATGAGAAAATGAATGTTGTACCCATTTTACAGATGGGAAAACAGAAGGTCAGAGAGGTTAAAGGCACAGCCTCTTCTCCTGAGATGTTGATAAATTGGCTGGGGAGGAGAAACATACTAGACTCATTCCCATGTGTGTGTGTGCTTTATATATGATACATGTAGGGAGGAGTTGCAAGGGATAAACAAGGGCAGGATCATTGCGTTTAACCACACATTTCTCATAGACTGGACTTAATCAAAATGGGGTTGATTAAATTTAAGATCAAAGAAGAATCAAGCTAGTTAAATTAAAATGGTTTTCCTTGTATTTGTGTTTTCATTTCATATCATATCTTAGTATGGGAAAGCACCTTAGAGGCCATCTAATGACCTGGTCTAGTTTAATCCCCTAAATTTACAGATGAGGAAACCAAGCCCAGAAATGTGACGTGCCTCCAATCTACTAGTGGAAAAACTGGAGTTCTGACTTCTGAAGTTATACTTCCACCATACTGGCTGCCTTCCCTATACCAGGCCAAATAATTTCATCTGATGTGGATGCCCTAGCTACTGATTTTCTGGGCCAGAGACCCCAGGCTTGAGTTTGCAGATGCGGAGAGGGAAGCCCCTCCCATGAGCAAACAGATGTGATCAGGCAGTGGGATTGGCAGAAGCTCTTCCAAGAAGCCAGCTCCGTCCTTGTTCAAGCATCAAGTTTTGGCTCCACATGGGCCTGTTCTGACTTTCCCAATCTGTCCTTCACAGGCCAGTGCAGCAGTGACCTGTTCCAGTCGACACACAATGTCGTTGTCAAGACTGAACAAACCGGTGAGTAGTAGCAGATGAAGGAAGTCAACTTGGTAGGCAAAGGCGTGGGGAGGACAGGTGGGAGGGAGAGTGTGGGATCAGGACGGAGCCAGTATTTGGCGGGAAACCCAGGAACACCTCTGCCCTGGCTGTCTCCAGGGGGCTGCCCTCCCATGAGCCTCATTCCTTGACCTTGGGACCAGTGCCTGCCAACCATGTCTGATTTCTAGGCTGATGGTGACCCTAATTCTGCCCACACTTCTCTGCTTCCCACTACTGGTCAGGGCATCGTCCAGGCTCTTGTCCAGGAGCTAGGAAAAATGCAGAGTCTAGGTGGGCCTCCTTCTCACCACAAACAGAGCCAGGGGATTGGACTTGGCCAAGGTATGAGAAGCAAAGGGAAAGAGGAGGAAGCGTCAGTGTCTCCTCTCCCGCTCCTCCCTTGGTGGGAATGTGTCTCACAAAAAGGAGGAAGATGTGGACTTGCTGTTGTCCTTACTGTAGTCTCTGGGGGGCCCTTGGAGCTTCTGTAGGGATGTCCAAATGCAGCTGCTAAAGCCCACTCCTGCCTTAGTGCACTTTTAGATAAAAGACACTATTCTGGGCTCTAAGTAGGGTCTGCATTCCCATTACATCTACATTCATTTTGATTCTCCTCCCCCTGCCTAATCATCTCTCCTTCCTCTGTCCCAGTTTCTCTCCTGGGGACTCTCGTCAGTCTGTTGGACTTGCAGGTGGCGGTCCCTGGCCTTGCACCAATCAGAGCTCCTTGCATATTGACTTTTGGCCTGTGACCTCTCAGTGTAGCGAGAGCTATGCAAGTCCCCCAAAGTCCGCTGGCCGTGATCAAACTGTGCAGCTGCCACTGCTCTAGGGTCGCTCCTGGTGTTCACACCAGTGAGATTGCGAGCCACGTGGGCCCACCGGGTTTGCCACAGGCCTCCCTGAGGGTTGCGTGCCAGTCACCAAGGACAGAATTCAACCTGGGGTGATTTGTGAGTCACTTGGGGCTGAAATTGGCTCCATGCAGTTATTTACTCTTTTATAAGGGGGTTAGTCTAACATTATTAAAGAAAAAACAATAGCTGCTAAGCACGTTAATTAGGTTTTCCTCGCCCTGCCCCTCCCCCCAGAGACCAGGGGTTGGGCTACCCGGATGGTCTGTGCTTTGTGGGCTTGACTGCCCTAGAGGCAGACACGGGACTTGGCCGAGAGGATGGTGCTCTCTTCACCCTGACCTGACAGGTGGCCCCACCGCAGGAGCCAGGATGGTGTTGGAGAGGTCCCACATACCTTGACAATTTCTCCTTGACCATCCAGACATTCTTGTGTCGCCAGTTTAGAAAAGCTGAGCTGAAGGGGTGGAGAAGAAGGTCCACCCTGGGAGGAGGGGAGAAGAGGCTCATAGACGGACCAACACCCCCAAACCTTTTTGGTTCAGTTTATTTTCAGAGACAACAACAGGTGTATGAGGTGACCCAACAAGGAGAAGAGGGTGTAACCCCAAGAGATTGGGCTTGGGGTGCCCAAACACGTAGCTATTAGTTAAAATACCAGCTAAATCCCTATGTCATAAACAGGAGGACTTAGCCAGTGAGTCAGGTTTTATACCGTTTATGCTATAAAAACAAAAGGAAACTCGGCCAGTGGCTTACCACCCTGGCCCTGAAATTCAGAACCTGGGCAGCAAGCGAGCTGAGGGCAGCCTCGATCTGTGAAGAGGGAAAGCAGGAGTTTTTGGTGGGGACCAGCTCTTGGCCAGCCAGGAAAGCAAACGCTTCTGTTGGAGACCAGCCCAGATGCAGGGGTTGTGTAGAAGTTGGGCTTCATTTGGGGTAGGTGGAGCAGAGTTTCCTTTGAATCTGAAATCTGAAGAGTCAATCAGAGTGAGTCGTGCTTACCCAGCACACTGAAGACGGAGAGAGAGAGAGAAAGAGAGAGTGGGAGAGAGGGCTTCTTTTCCGAGAGGAGACAATGGGGCCCTAATCTTAAAAGCTGTTTATTTGATTTGGGAACATTCTCTTCCCCTTCTCCTTAATTTTGTTTTGAGAATTTTATGTCACCCCTTAAGCTAATTGAAGAAACCCCAGAGGGAGGGGAATGTCACCCAACTTGAGGAGAGACTGGATTTCAGCAATGAGGAAACTGTGATAAGACTGACCAGACTTCTTCTGAAGGAAATATCATTAATTCTCCCAGGAAGACATTACTAGGAAAAGATGCTCATTAATCATGAGATTATTTGTCCCTAACACGGCATTTTTTTGTCCTAGTGTTAAAACATTCTGGCAATTGTATAATAGAAGGCAAGACAATGTCAAGCTCCCAAACCCACCCCTGCCATGTGCAGACTGGGAAACTTCCCAGCAAAGCATTGATCTGGGACAGGATCCCACTGTGGCAACTTCCCTAAAAAGGCAACAGGTGCAGAACACATGGATAGGCCCATAACAAAGTCCATTTCCCCCGGGACACTGGAAGAAAAATGGGGTCACATTATTGTGACCCCATAAAGTAACATGTGGCTGAAGCAGACTCTTATCCCTTCTCTCTGAAGACCACCCCCTAGGTCCCATGCCTCTTTGATGAGCAGTGAGTTAGAAAAGGCAAACTTTTCACCTGGGGAAGATGATTGCTGACCGTTCCCACATTCTGTGTTTTCTAGACCCTTCCATCATGAACACCTGGAAAGAAGAAAACTATTTATATGACGCCAACTATGGTAGCACAGTAGGTAACTAACTCCCCAACACTTCAGGCCCTTTTACATTCTTATTCTCTTTTTCTAACAGCCAAAAAGTTATCTTGTAAGGAGGGGGCTCTCAATGTCCTTTATCTTTTCATTACCACAGATTTGTTGGACAGCAAAACTTTCTGCAGGGCCCAGATCTCCATGACAACCACCAGTCACCTTCCTGTTGGTAAGTTGTCGTGACATCTGAGGCTGAGTGTGCCTCATGCAAGAGCTTACTGAGAATTAATGAGAATTACTGACATCCTACATTTCTGCTTTGCTGGAGTCTTTCTCACTCAAAGGCTAGAAAAGGAATGGAGTTACTACTTATAAAAGATCTGCTTTTGAGTCAATATTTGTACATTGAAAATGACGAGCAAGGATGCCTGTAGGCAAAGTGTTTGTCTCTTGTGAAACTACGTCACTCACTTGTAACAACAAAAATTCTTTTTCAACAAAAACTTGCTCTTGGGAAATTATCTGATAAAATTATTCATACTTAGGTATACTTATGGGAGAAGAGGTTATATTCAATTTTCAACAAACTCTATTTTGCTTTAGAGTAAGAATGTCTACCAGTGGCATTCAGAGGTCAGTGAAACTGTGGTGATTATCTCTGGATAGAGGAGCATCAATTGGAAATTTCCAGAACCCTAGGAATCATACCATTTTGTCAGTTTTTTAAGTCTGACCTTGATGGCTTATCTGGACTCTCGAATTAGTCAGAACACCTAACCTTCATGAATTATGTTCACATTAGTTGTATTTGGTCAACATTGGGTGCAACTGGGGGCTATCCATAACCCTCAGTCAAGGTTCCACTGAGAGTGTTGGTCTGTTGGGAGTCTGGGAGGGGGCTTTCAGATTATAATCCCCCGCCCCTTACAAATAGGTACCTTGGTATGTACGGGGTAGGAATGAGTGCACCTGGGAGGTGAGAGAGGGTTTTGTTTTGTCCCCTGATCTGGGGTGAACTTGTGGATCTGTGTGGGTCTATGAAATGGAGCTTGGACTTGTCACAAGGAAATTGCTCTTTTCCTGGAATTGAATTTGGGGCAACTTCAGAACTGGGATTTAAAAGAGTGTTTGTAAAAGAAAGCATGGACTCAAACAACAACCCCTTCTCCTGCCCTTTTTTTTTTTCTTTTGTTGATTATGTTTCAAGAACTGAAATAATGAAAGCTTTTGGTTTGAGGTTTTGTTTGGGTCAAGCCCCTTGAATGAGACAGAACTGGGAGCTAGTGTAACTGCTTCTGGAATCGAGGTTAAGAATGGAGGCCAGTTTATTTCTCTACTTCCCCCTCCCCGCAATGGCCCCTAGCATTATGTGTCACTCTAAGTGTTGAAATTAAGAAACAGATCAAACACTGGAAAGGCTCTGTAGTGTCTTTGCCATTCTGGGGGAACTGAGCCAATCGGGGTAAAATTTCTGTGGCAGCCATTGCTGCCTAGTCCAGTCGTAGGGTTTCAGAGCCGAGGAAACCACCCACTCTGGTCACCCTCTGACTTCCTCTCACACTTCCTAAGGTGTCGCCTCCCACGTCCTTCCGGTTGGGTCTTTGGTTTATGGCAAAAGATTCCAACTAAGTATAAAGTTGAACCAACCACTTCCTGAGCCTCAGGGGTTGTTAAGGTCTCGAGGCCCCTGGAAACCCTAGAAGCCATAGTCTCAGCTCTACCGGCCTCGCAACCAGGCCGCCCTCCTCTCTTCTGTGTCCTGACTTACCTTCTAGAATCTCAGAATCAATAGGGGCCAGTTTCTGCTTTCATATTTGCCGTCACAGGGCACTCACTGTCTCTTCGGTCCACCTATTCTATTTTTGAATAGTCCTTCTTAAAATGGGCTTTACAATTCTGCTCTCCTTTATCTCTCTTGATCCCTGATCCCCTGTTCCCCATTCCTGTCCTGCAGTTGTAACAGCTGGAAAATGAGATAAGCAATCCATGACATCTAACAGAATTATTTCTTAAAGAATCAACTCATTGTCTGGGGTTGGTAAATTCTTTGTAGGAACAGCTTCCAGTAGGATAGTTAATTACAGCCTTGTATGGGCCAATCCCTTCTAGAATAGTTTAGTCTACTAAATGGGGCCAGAACCCCCCACCCCAAAGACCTTTGTCATTTGTGAGTCTTTAGATTTCAAGTTCCCATTAAATTGAGTGCAGTTAAACATCTTTCTATGTTTTAATGCAAGTTACAAGCCCCAGCAGAGGCGAGGCCCAACATAAACTGATGCCCTCTGTGATAAACGCAGGTGGGAAGCCAGCTTTGTTTTGATTTCTCTGTCATCTGCCTGTTTCATAAAATGGCCGCCGCCAGTGTTCCTGATCTGCCCGATAGTCCTCGAGCCAATCACGCCAACTCAGGCTTGATGTGTTTATTCACTGACTTGTTGAGCCTCAAGCTAGGGTGGCTCGGTCTATTATAACACTGAAATTTGTATATCCCGTAAAGAAATGGCTCACAGCTGAATCATATGCAAATGCTTCTAATCTTCGCTTCTTGCGAAGCAGGTTAGCTGAAGTCATGTTCTGGAACTTGCATCATAAACCCATGGCTTGGTGCTGCCCCTGCTGGACCTGACCTTGGCCTGAGGTGCCCGGGAGCAGAGCAAGAGACAGCCAAGCTGGGCAACTTCCCCAGAGCAAGCCATTATTTTATAAGAATGAATTGCTTAACCACATGGCTAACTTCAAAGAGTTTAACTTTTCTTTTGGGGCGAGGGGAAGATATGGGGGAGAGGCCATCATATGAAGGTGAGGTTCCAGATCAAAAGATTTTAGGCTAAGCAGATCAATGATTCCACAGCCTGGCCCTGCAACTGGGGATGGGAAGAGCAGGCTGGAAAAATTCGAGTTTTCTTTTGTCTTTGGCTGCATATTACTCCATACGATGATGGAAACATTTTTATTTGGGGATTTTTTCTTTTTTTTCTTTTTGGTCTTTCTTAAGCTGGATGGAGGTCTAGTCTGGGTAAAGGGCTGACATCTCCAAAAGAAAATTCCCTCATGGTCTGTCTGGTTGGGGGTTTTTAAATCTGAGTCCATGGACTCCAAAGTGAGCCACAAACCCCTGAAATTGTTTACAGATTCTCACGAGTGTGTCCATACGTGCATTTTCCTGGGGAGAGGGTCCAAGTTTTCCATCTTATTCACAAAGGTACCTTAACCCCAAGTAATTGATTCTATGTCGGCTTGGACCCTAAACAGTTATTGAGGCCAATAAGCTGAGAGACACTTGGGTTCTTCTGAATCCACCCCTGGCTCTGAAATAATGGCCCCACATCCCTCCTGGATGCCATTTGAAAATGAGCTTTGCTTGTGGCCTGCTGGGTAAATGCCACTCTTTGTCTGCAGAACAACGTGGCTCTGTCAGAGTGATGTATCACTTGGAAACTGGGGTGGGTGCCAGACCTGTCGCAATATTGTCACATCCTGATGGGGTGTTGCAACCTCACCCTGAAAGCTACAGGGAGGGAGAGTGGAGTCTCCTTGCATTTCCTGTGAATTTGTCCTTCCAGATTTCAGAGAAACCCAAGTCAGGTGCAGGCCCTCCTGCTGACAACGCTAGGAGAGAAATTCATAACTAGAATAAGAGGTTTCTCTTCTGACCAGATCTTGCTAAATCCCTCCCCTCCCTCCCACCATGGCTTTCAGAGAAACTGCTGGGACTGCTGAGTCATGACAAACTGGGTGATCAGATTGGTGAATGTGTCCATGCACTTTGGGAAATACAGAATCATCAAACTGGAATTAGTTTTTCTCACCAACTAGAGCATTATGGAACTGAACCTGATTCTCGGCAGGGAAGACTTCTGTGAAATCTGTTATGTGCCACCGTCTTTGGGAATGGCACAGAATAGTGGTTGTGAGTAAAGTGCCTCTGAGTTCAAACTGTGTTCACATCCTGGCTCCACTTTCAGGCTGTGTGGCTTTAGACAAGTAATTTGACCTCTCTGTGTCTCAGCTCCTCCACGGCTGTGAACTTGGGATCATAATAGTACCTACCTCATAGGGTTACTGTTTGAATTAAATAATGTGATTCATGTAAGTGCTTAGCACAGTGCCTGGTATACAGTAAGTGCTCAGTAAACAGTAGCTATGCTTCTTAACCATTTGAATTAGGAGCTAATGGTTATTCAAACTTTTTTGAATAATGGACCACTCTTGACAATCAGAATGAAGGCTATGGACCCTCTCCCTTTGCATCCAGTTTCAGTCAGTCCAAAATGCCCTTGAAGGCCACACATGGGGCAGTGAACCCCAGGTTAAGAAGCCCTGGAGTAATGTGCACAGAAGAGATGCATTTGACTGGCCCAGTTTCTTAACAGGGTTGGCTTGTGTTTAGGGACTGCTCTATTGGCAGATTTTCCATTGTGAGATTTTTTGGTAAGATCTGCCTGGGTCCTCCCAACACCCAAATGGCCCACTGACATACACACACACACTGCTAGATCATTTAGTTTTCTTTTTAAGAAGTTTTACTTCACAGATCTGCCTCTGTCATCTCCTCTTTGGTGACAGTCACAAGGGTTACCAAAATGAGTCATTTGTTAAACTAATCTGTGTTTTCATAGTCCACCATGTCCTTCTGTACTGAGCTCAGGCCAGTCAATGGCCCCTTTGTCAGGCTGATTAAAATGTAACTTTCCATGCCAAGAAAAGGCACTCCTCTGGTTTAAATGCCATCTTTCTTTGTTATAAACGTTTACATTTTTGTATTATGTAAAAAAAAAAAAAACACCTTTCAATGACTTAAATCCTTCAATGGCTTCCCATCTCTCTCAGAATAAAAGCTAAAATCCCAAAACATCTCACAAAGCCTTATCTGAACCTCAGCTCCCACCTCCTGCCCTTGCTGATGGCCACGTTGGCTTCCTTCTGCTCTGTGGACATACAAACAGGCACGGACCTCTGAGCGTAGCACTTCTCATTCGTAGAAGGCTCTTACACGAGCTCTCTGCACAGCTGTCTCCCTCACACCCTTCTGTTCCCCTTATCAGAGAGATCCTCTGTGACCGCCTTATATTAAATCATAAATTATTCCCATCTCTACACTTCTAGCCCCATTTCTTGCCCTGTGATATTCTTCTCCACAGGACTTATCATCTCTGTTTTGTTTTGGTCATACCACACATGTGAACAGCGCCAGGCAGGCAGGCAGTAGGTACTCAGTAAATTGAGTGGATGAATGAAGGAAAATGATGATTGTGGGAAATATGTAAATTAAGCCGCTCTCATTTTTCCCTTTAGCTGAGTCACCTGATATGAAAAAGGAGCCAGACCACCCCGCCAAGACCCACACCAAAAAGCACAGTAAGTTGGCGGGCCGACCGAAGGCTCTTGGCCTTTCCCTCAAGTTGGGTGTAACTGGAGGTGGCTAGTTTTCGGACAGGTATTGCCTCTGCCCGCTGCCTCCACTTCCTC